ATGCCTGTAATCCTAGCACTTGGGAGGCTGAGGCAGATCAACTTGGGCTCCATAGCAAGACCCTGCCCCCACTCCCACCCCCTGCCCCCCCCAAAAAAACCAAAATGGTAAGCTTTCCAGTATTCAAAAACAATTGACAAAAATTGGCCAATGATTTAATTGTTGCTTCCTGGATCGTATTGTATATTGATATGTATTTTTTGTTTCAGTTGTAAAGTATGACTATTATTACCTTTCAGTCAGCAATTCATTTGGCATTTAGAGTCTGAATTTGACATTTCCTTTCTTTTAAAATTATTTTCTGAGCTGGGCATGGTGGTATACAGCTGTAGTCTCAGCTATTCAGTAGGCTAAGGTAGGAGGATCACTTAATCCCAGGAGTTTGAGGCTAGCTTGGGCAACATAGACCCTGTCTTAATAAATAAGTCAATAAAATCACTTTTCTGGCTGTAGATTTAGCTCAGTGGTAGAGTTAAAATATAAAATAAATATAGCTGGACATACTGTCATGTACTTGTAGTCCTAGCTCTTGGAAGGCTGAGGTCGGAAGACCACAAGTTTGAGGCCAACTTGAGACACATAGTAAGTTCAGGCCAGCATGGGATAGAGCAAGGCCCTGTCTCAAAAGTAAGTAAGTAAGTAAAGAAAGAAATATTTTAAGCCTGGTGCCAGTGACTCACACCTGTAATCCTAACTACTCAGGAGGCAGGGATCAGGAGGATCAAGGTTCAAAGCCAGCCGGGGCAAATAGTTCTCTAGACCCTATCTTGAAAAAACCCAACACAAAAAAGGGCTGGTGAAGTGGCTCAAGGTGTAGACCCTGAGTTCAAGCCCTAGCGTGTGTGTGTATCATATATATATGTATATGTGTGTGTGTGTATATACATATATATATATATAGAAAATTATATATATAATGACTATATATAATGAAAATTATATATATATATATTTATATATATATATATATACAAACTTTAAAAAATATTAGTTTTCATTTGTAATGTCAACTATTTACACTTTGTGAAAGAGTAGAATTATCGAAGTGATCTTAAATGTGAAAAAGTTACTTCCCTCAAAAAAAAAAAAGTCCCCAAACCCTCACTAACTCAAGTGTACTTAGGTATATATAGCCACCTTTTCCACCACACTGTTGTAAATATTTGTTGCCAACTGTTAGGGGTATAAGAGGCTGGGGAAACATGTATGATATTGCCTGATGTTTGACCTGAATACAGCCAGTCCTTAACTTTCTGAAAGCAAACTATTTCATTTTGGATATTGGTTTTCATTCTGTGGAGTCCTTTGGTTTCTCTTAACTTTTTTTCCTCCAATGTTGGAGATCAAACCCAGACCTCTTGTATATGTTAGGCAAGCGCTCTAGTACTGAGCTACATCCCCAATCTGGTTTCTCTTAACTTTTGAAATCATTAGGGTAGGTATATTTATTAAGTTTTGAGGCAGGGTCTCATTTTGTAACTCAGGCTGGCCTTGAACCTATGATTGAGTGCTGGAGTTACAGACACACCACTGTTCCTAGCTTTAAAGTGTATTTATTATATTACATCAAACAAAGGATTTTCATTTTCTTTTTTTTTTTTTTTTTTGGTGGTATTGGGGTTTGAACTCAGGCCTACAACCTTGGGCCACTCTACCAGTCTTTTTTTGTGATGGGTTTTTTTGAGATAGGGTCTCAAGAACTGTTTGCCCAGGCTAGCTTTGAACTACAATGCTCCTGATCTCTGCCTCCTGAGTAGCTAGGATTACAGGCATGAGCCACAAACATCCTGCTTGCACCATATTTTTGTTTCAAAATCTATTCTACAGATTTTTTTCTGGAATACTTACTTTGTAACAGCTGCGCCCAGCTTCATTTTATTCTGAATGAAATGAAAATTAAAATGTGGGTAAAAGGTACAACGGCTCTGGTCTTAAGCAGAATTAATAACAATCATGCCAGTACCTTACTTTTGTATAGCACATTTTTATGCTCCCATTTAATCCATACAGCAATTATGTGAAGTACGTATGGCAAGTATTAGCTCTGTTTTGTTGATGAAAAGAATGGGGCTCAGAATTTTAGAGATGTGCCCAGGGTTACTGTATTGTTAGTTTATATTGAAGGTATAACTAGACTCTGGCTTTCTGACTCTTGAGTTTCACCTAGTCTTTGTTCTTACGTCTTTAAAGATATCTAGTCTGTTTTTCAGAACTAAACTAATGTGAAACACCCCTTGACAATGTTTCCTAAAACTTTGAAATCTTAAAAAAAAAAAAAAAAAAGGACTGGTGGAGTGGCTCAAGTACGCCAGCCTAGCAAGCATGAGACCCTGAGTTCAAACCCCAGTGCCGCCTAAAAAAAATTTTTAAATAAAAAAAAGCCAGGTGCTGGTGGCTCACACCTATAATCCTAGTTACTTGGGAGGCTGAAATCCAGAGGATCTCAGTCCAAAACCAGCTCAGGGAAATAGTTCTCCAGACCCATCTCCACAATAACTAAAACAAAATGGACTGGAGGTGTGGCTCAAGCAGTAGAACACCTACTTTGTAAGTGTGAATACCTGAGTTCAAACCCTAGTCCCACAAAAAAAAAAAAAAAATCCTGTCTTTTGAGGGCTGCTTTATGTTATAGGCTAGCCCAAGAAAAGCTTTACTCAAAGCAGAATAAAGCTCTGTCCATGTAGCAGCTATGTCATTTTGGGACATTTTCCCTGGTTGGATATCCATGCCCCAGAGTGAATAAGGAAACAAACTGAAATAGCTAATTTGTAAGCCCGGCCTTTTGAGCAGCTGTTAAAATGTTCGGCAGAAGACTTTGATGAAAGGCTGGTGTGTGTGTGGGGGTGCAACTAAGGGATCATGTGTCACCACAAGCCCCTTTTACTATAGGTAACTCAGTGTCTTCTCTCTGCTGAAAGAGCATTAGGTTGGCTAAGTGTTTCAACTCAGAAAGTGTTGACTTAGAAAACTGAAATTTTGCATAAGCTTCATCATCCTAAGAAATTAAATGAAATATAGTAAAATGCCAATGCCTTTGGAAATAAGATTCAGACAGAATCTTGTATAACTCAATGTAAATTAACATTTTTTTTTGCAGTACTGGTACTTGAACTCAGGACTTCACCTAGACAGGTGTTTCACCACTTGAGCCACTCCACCAGCCCTTAAAATAGCTTAAAATAAGTTTTTTTTAATATAACTTATAAATATTAAGTTTTACTTATAACTAAATATTTGTATATTTTTAGAGACTGGCCTGAAATTGTCGCTCAAAGTAGAACATACACTTTTTCCTGATGAACTTATGGGCTTTCCAAGATTCAATGGAAATTTCAAGTTTCAAATAGTTTAGTCCTCCTTGAGAAGAGGACCTAAAATCAGAGGTTATCACTGCTGCATCCTGTGTTGGTTCCGCTGTGCACCCTAAAGCCAGAGAGGGCACTGTTGCTGCCACCTTTCCATCAAACAGCCGTTTTTCTAGGGCTGCATGACATCATAGCAGAGGAAAAATGAAAAACACAAGAAAACTACTTCAAAATAGACATTTAATGCAATTTTTAGGTCAAAGAAAAAACTGATCACATAGTGTCTCCAATGAGTCACCTGCTAGAATAGGGCTAGCACAGTCTAGTTTTGAAGGCTCTGATTCCATCCAATGAGCATAAGTTCCCTTGATTTATTGATTTACATATGCTTCTTATGCATTATAAGGCGAATTTCACTCTCGATGTTTCTACTACCTCCACTGTTGCCATTTATCGGAAAAATAGGCTTGCCAACAGAAGGGTTTTCTTTCCTTGCAAGGGTTCTCAACCTTCAAGGAGTTTGGCAGTCAGACTCATGAATTTCTTGAATCCTCCCTACAAAAACATACACATAACACAAGATTACATACCACTTACAGGGTTCATGGATCCCAAGGCCTCCTATGGTTTCTAAGTCCTCAAGTTAAGGAACCCGTGTTAGTAATTTGAGCAATAAAATTGCCCTAGGGAAACAGGACAGGTGAGGAAGGATTGAGTTAACCATAGTGACAAGGAAGTCATTTAATTTCGATTTTCATTTTGTGACAGGAATTAGTTCTCAGGGCTTCCCTGCATTTTTAAGAGCAGAACTACTCAAGAACCTTACCCAGCTGTCAGCACAGTGTAGCAGATTGAGACTAGCAACTATATAGGGAATGTGCAGGGCTCTTCGTTCAGCACCTAAGGACCTCATCACCTCATCTACCTCCTTAACCAGAAGCTTTTTAAATCTTTGATTTACAGTGAAGGACTTTTCTTCTCTTAGTTGACCCTCATAGAGAGATGGACAGCTCCTTTTCTGGTTTTTTTGTTTTTTGTTTTTTTTGTATACAGAGCACTGAATTATTGGACAATTAGGGTAAGTCCTTAGCTACCCCCAGCCATTTCCTTTGTAAGTCCAAGTGTTTATAGAGGTTCCTTCCTCCAAACACACAACATAAAGAGCTGCCCCACAAGTTTAATCTAGCCAGTGCTTGCCCTTTAAGAAAGCAAATTTTACCAAGAGCCACTCTAGGCATCTATGAACTCCTAGCCTTAATGGGGGAAGGGAAGGATTACTGAAAAACAACTTGTAGGAAATAAAATGAGGCTGGGGGTCAAACCCAGGGCCTTGTGCATGCTAGGCAAGTGCTCTACCATGGAGGATGTAGTAGCCATACTACATCCCCAGCTCTTTAGGACTTCTGATTGTAGCTACTTTCCACTCCCCAAAACACCAAACTGGTTTATTGTTCCAGCATCAAGCAAGCCAAGGCACTAAAAAGCAAGCACACTTAAAATATTGAAGATAAATTCTTATATTTTGCCTTGACTGTATATTGTAGCATATTAAAGCCCATTCAAGGAAAAAAGCTTAAAGTTCTCTCAGTAAAGATTTTTTTCAAACGGACAAATTTAACAATTTAGTCATCTCCAAAAGTGCAGTCATATAAACCAATACTATTTGAATTAACTCTACAAATCACACTGAAACTGTTACATTTACAAATATTAAATTTTATTATAACTAGAATTTAATGTTTTCAGATTTGGCCACCTTTATAGCTCCGTTCAAGGAGGGGATTTTTTTTTTAACAGAAAAATGCATTATAACTTGGTCAAATTACTTACACATTAAAAAACTTCTAAAAATGAAAAGAAAAGCAACCCTTCAGTTTCATATAATTAAAGAACAGGAGAAAGCACGAAAAGCTACATATAGCTAAATTTACCAAACCAACCAAAGCCAGGGGGATTTTCTCTTCTGATTATGTGTCATAAAAAGGTTCACTGTCTTATATACACATGTATATAATGTTACATTCCAGCACTGTAAAAAGTCCCCTTTCCCCCCTCCCCCCAAAAGTTTTCAGTCTAGTCTCCAAACTTGGACAGCGGCGCTCGCTCCTGCTGCCGGTGCAGTTCGTTCTCTGTCAGCAGCTGGAGGTTCTCGGCGCGCAGCCGGGCCAGCTCCAGCTCCAGCTCCCGCACACGGGCGTCGTCTCCACCCAGTCGCTTGCTTTCCAGCCGCAGTCGGTTGTTTTCGTCCTCCATGCGCGAGAGGCACTTCTCCAGCTCCAGGTACTCCTTGATGAGCTCTTGCTTGCTCATGTTCTGCAGGCTCTCCGCGTGGTACCGCTCGTACGTCTCCGAGAAGTCCCTCTGCAGAAACTCGCTGCCGTCCCCTCCCATCCCATCGCTGCCCCCGTCCTCCTCGCCCGCTTCTTCCATAAAGTCCTCATCGCTGGTGTCGTCGGACTTGGCGGCAGCCCGCTTGGGGTAGAGGCCGGTTTTGAGATCCGGCTCCTCTTGGTCGTGATCATCCATGAGGAACTGCGTGGTGTTATAGGGTGCGACCGGCTGGCCCTTGGCGAACATCTCGGCTCGAATCCTCGAAGCTCGCAGGCTCTGCTTCTCGTCGAACTTTCTCTTCTCCTCCCAGGTCAGCTTGTAATACGGTTTCCAATGCCGCTTTTTCTTGGAGGGGCGTCTCCTATGTTTTTTCTTGCCCAGCTGTCTCAGCTGCTGTCCCCACGCCTCCTCGCCCCCAGCGGCAGGAGCCCCCAACTTGGTCTCGGAGTCAGGACATGGCTGGGCGAGCAGCTCGGACATAGGTTCCTCTCCCGCCGGCGGGGAGGCGCCGCCAGTGGACGAGTCGTCCCCATCCCGACCCTTCTCTCCCGCGTCCAGACAGCTAGACTCTGGACAGGCCTGGGTCTGCAGAGAAGGTGGCTGGGGCTCCAGACTCCCTTCCCCCTCCGGCCCGGGACGGCCACCCGACCTGGGGGACGCTCTCGATTGCCACCTACTGTCCTCAGGCACCCGCTCCTCCACGCCAGGGGGGCGCTCAGGGTTCCGCTCTTCATGAACAGCAGCACCTGTACAGTTGCTAGTTTGAGGCTGGTGTTGGTATTCTGACAAGAATGGCTCGGCCATGGCTAGTAAAGTCCTCGAAGTTTGGGAAATTTTGGCTGTAAGTCCTTAAGGAGAAGAAAGATTCTTCTTTAAAAAAAAATGTCCAACAGAGTTCTCTTCGATCTGTAATTTCTTCAGTGACGCCTTTGACGATCCTCCTGTCAACAAACTCCAATTGCAACTTGGAATCAAGTCAGTAAAGGGTTAAGCGCCCAGAGCGCGGCCAGCTAGCAGGTCCAAAGGGGTGCAGCGGCAAGAACAGTGCGTAATGTGTGGAAGGGATGGGCTTCGACCCTCCCCGCAGAGCGCCCCCACGATCGTGGAGTCGGTGGGCAAGGAGATGAGGTTTAAGTCCAACGGGTTAAACCCAACCCGAAGGGGTTAAAACTACCCGATGACGCTGCCTTCGAGGGGACGAATCCACAAAGGGTTAAATCCCCTGCCGCAGAGCCCTCAAGGGGTTAAAGTCCCAGAGTGACCTCCTCCCACTTCCACGGGTGTCGCTCCAACCCGCGCTCCCAGTTCCCTAGGCCCGGCCGGAGCCTTAGCCGAGGACAGACAAACTCATCTCCCCTTTGGCTCGAAGCTCTGCTCAGCTCAGTTCTCCTCCGCCTCCTCCTCTTTTCCTCCCTCCCTCCTCCCCCTTCAGACAGCTCCTCTTCCGCCTCCTCCCCCGACTTCCCCTCCCAACCTGCCTTTCCACCTGCCAACTTCCAACTGCTGCCTCCCAGCCCTCTGCGCCCCTTTTATATAGAAGCCTGTTCGCCCCGCCTATGCGCATGCGTAACGGAGTCCCCTTAACAGGGAGCTGGGAGTTGTAGTTCCCATCGTTGAGGCCTGTCGTCCCCGCGCGCCGTGCGACGTAACCAATCCCAGGACGCGTAGGGGGCGTCTCCCATGCCGCCTCCTTCCATCTCTTATCCCTCGCTAGAGAAACGTGAGCAACCATTGGTCAAGAGTTCCTCGCCTCGCCAAGGAAGAATGACCAATCGTAGAGAAGATGGGGGCGGGCTCTGGACCATACCATTCTGCTTCAAGAATATGAGAAGATTCCATGACTTTTGGGAGCCCACATAGAATATTTTAATGAAAAGGTGCGTTTTAAAGACAATTATCGTATTGTGTACTCAGCGGAAGGGTTCTGAGAGTCATAAACATTTGTTAACTAAAGTAAAAATGGTTTATTCCTAAAAAGTAGTCCCTAAAGTGTAAAAGAGGACTAAATCCTATAAAGCGATGCTGGTCACGGCTACTAACACTGGATTTTTAAGATTACAGAATGGCTTCAAGGCAGGTGGCTAATCCGTAGGAGGAACATTTGCGGAAGGATATTGTGTACATTTTAAGAATTTGAAAAGCGCAAGGAGAAGTAAACAAATGAATAAAAAGTGCCGCCTTAAAGGGACAGTGTGACGGCGTTTCGTGCAGCAGCTCCTGACTAGGCCTCGGGGAACAACAGGGCGGGTTCGAGTCCCCGGTGAAATCGACCCTCGCCTGCCCTGGGGACCCTCGGGCGAAGGTGTAAGAATGTGAGCGCTCGGCGTCTCGGTCCCAAAGGCCGGTGCAAAATGGTGATCCGTGGCCAAGCCTCTCGTATAGGCGGGATCCAAAGCGCTGGGTGGAGTAGAGTCGCCCCCCCATCCCAGGCCTCGGCTTCTGTCGAAGAAAATGGCCTCCTGGGGCCGGCTTGGTCTCTTCTCTTCCAAGACTAGGAACATTTCCTCAGCCGGGACAGGAGAGTGCGGGGCAGCTGATGACCGTCTTTATTGGGGAGGGGTTCAAAATTATGAGTTTAAATAACCCAGCCCGAGTCCTCGAAAATGGGTGCCCTCCCCGAGACCCTCCCTCCATGGGCGCTCGGTGGGGAAGCAGGGCCGAAGGCTTCCCCGTGGAGGAGGAGGCCTTGCCCGAAATGGGGCGGCGCGGGGGGAGGGGTGTGTGTGCTGGCCAAGGATTGTGAGTGGGGCATATCCTCCTTTGAGAGAAAGACTCTAGACTGCAGTCGTCGTCCTCCCCCTTCCCCCACCCCCCCGCCCCGGCAAAGGACCTGGAGGCCGCTCTAATCACTGAAAGGCTCCTGATCGCCGTTTCTCCCCTTGTTGCACACAGTGACCCATTCTTATTTCTCTTCTAATAACCATCCTTTATTTTGCAGCCGATGTGTTCTGCACTACGTTCTTCTACACCCGCCACCACAGTACAGCTAGATAGGCAGGGTAGGAATTTGTCTTCATTTTTAGAGATAAGAAATCTCTATAGTCTTAAATCTCTAAAGAGTTGAAGACTCGGGGAAATTAAATGACTTGTCTAAGATCACGTGACAACTAAGTGGCCCTTTGGCTAGAGTGCAGGTTGTGACTTCTGTGCCATTTTTCTTTCTGTCACAGTCTTTTTTTCTCTCAAGAACTGTGGACTGAGGGCTGGAGGCATGGCTCAAGTGGTAGAGCACCTGCCTAGCAAGGCCCTGAGTTCAAATTCTAGTACCGCTTAAAATAACCAAAAAGCCAAACACAAAACCAAAAAAAAAAAACAAACCCTCTAGATGGGGTTCCTTTTTATTTCCAACAGCTATCTCATGCAGAAGCATTTGTTAGGAAAGCACAAAGATGAATAAAATATCATCCTTGCCTCAGTTGCTCATGGATGGTATGGAGAGGCCTAAACACAAGAAGCCAAAATGGCAAGTGAAGAAAATCCCCATAGGAGCTTGTAAGCCAAGCTGCTTGAGAGTTGGAAATTGTGGACAGATATTGCCAATGAAGCAACTTCTTGGCTGGCTCTGAAGGATGAAGGATTTGGAGGCAAAGTGGCATGAAGAAAGCCCTGCTATGTAGATCAGGCTGGCCTCAAACTCATCCTCCAGAATGCTGGGATTACAGCCATAAGCACCACCACTCCCATCAGTATTTATTTTTTGAGAACGAGTCTGGCTATTTTGCCCAGACTGGCCTCAAACTCCTGGGCTCAAGCAGTTCTCCTGCCTCAGCCTCCAGAGTAGCTGGGACTACAGGCATACCATCTTGTCAAGCTAGGAAGGGCATTTCATGAAGAATAGGCATGTTGCGTTGCCTAGCAACTCAGGTGTGGTTCAGTGGGGCAGTAGTGATGGACATGTAAGATGCAGACTGCCTCCAAAGGGAAAGCAAGCAGGAATGTCCCTGGGACACATCCAGATGTTTTCGTTTTTGTTTTTGTTTTTCCAGCATTGGAGTTTAAACTCAGGGCCTCACACTTTCTAGGTAGGCACTTTACCACTTGAGTCACTCTGGCAACCCTTTTTTTAGTGTTGGGTATTTTCAAGATGGGGTCTCTTAAACTGTTTGCCCAGGCTGGCTTCAAACTGCCATCCTCCTGATCTCTGCCTCTTGAGTTGTTAGGATTACAGGTGTGGGCCCTGGCGCCTGACTTTGCCAGGCATTTAACATTCTCTAATCATTGGACTGCCTTATCATTCCCATTTTGTAATCAAGGCAACCCAGGCTCGGAGCATTTAGGAATCTTACCCACATTTGCCACAGCCAGCAAGAGAAAGAATGGACTTCAGTCTCTCCCTGCATCCCAGCACCAGTCGAATCCCTCTCCCGTTGCCCTGCTGCTGTCCATCTTTATCAGCCTCTGTGCTTGTGACTCTGGGCTGGGCCCCATGGAATTGTAGAACTCGTGTCTGGTCTGCTCTGTGGGCTGCCCTCTGCTTTGTGAGGACTGAAGGCTAAAGAGTGGCCATGGCTTTCCAGTAAGGCAAATGGTCAAGGCCAGAGCCTGATAGAAGGAACTCAGGAGTCTAAGGGTCTCCAGCCAGGTGCCTTCCTGCCTCTTCCTCAGCCAGGGGCTGGAAGGTCCTGGTGCTCAGGTGACAGCTTGTGGGGGCTCAAGCCTGGCGCAGCCCTCTGTGGCTTAGGATCCTGGTCTGGGTCTCAGAAGCATGGGGTATCAGCAGTGGCCACAGGCTTGTGGCTGTTGTCAGGGAGACCCAGGAGGGATGACACAGGTAGTGCTGACTGTTCGGAGGCCAAGCAGTTCATGAGGCCTATGCAGGCTAGGTCTGACCCAACTGGCTCTGTCCTCCACTTGGGAGAGCAGGGGCAAGTCTTCTTCTGGGCTCTGGCTTTCCAGAAAAGTTATCTGGAGAAGCCATAGGTCATGAGGGAGGGGGAGGGGGATTGCACCGGGAACCAGCAGCTGAGGTGGGGGGGCAGTGGGCACTACCGGGGTCTCTGTACAACCCCACATCCAGGATGTGGAGCGGGAAGCAACAGATCTTCCCATCTTGGCGGATCAACCAACTCCCCAACCAGGCTGTCCCCTCCCTGCCACTCCCAGGTCGCCGGAGACCCAGGAAAGGCAGGGTGCAAGCCCTTCCCCCTCCTGCCCCTAGCTGAGGCTGGTTTGCCTGGGGAAGAGGGAGACTATTCCTCATAGCGACACATTATTCACTGGCCTCCCATGGCGTCTCCAGGTCACTGGGGGAGAGGGCAGGATGGGGACTCTTGCCTGGCGCACCTCGACCCACTTCCCGCTGCCTCCGTGGGGGCCCAGAGGCAGAAGATTGAGGTTTTATTTTATTTAGTGAAACACTCATTTGCAAGTGAATCTTCGGTGAAGATATCCTGTGTGTCTGCGTGCGTGCGTGCGTGTCCGAGGCGCCTAGGCCAGGGGACGAGCAACCTCGGGGCTCCCTCCTCACTCCGGGCCTGCGTACTCCTCCCCGCACCACCGGGCCCTGGCCTGTCCGGCAGCCTCCCAGCCAATCGGTCTTCCAGCCCGGCCCAAGTTCCAACTTGCCCAAGAGCTGAACCTCCTCCGGGAGCAGCCCGGGATGGAGAAGAGTCAAGTCACCCGGAGGGAGGTGCCGCAGGGGAGAGACCCGGCAGCCCCGCCCGCTCACGGCCAGCCCCCAACCCGAAGCCCGGCTGGGCACCGCCACTGCAGCCTTCAGGGCGGCCTGGGCGTGGGGGAGGGGGAAGGGGCCGTGTGAGCGGCAAGGAAGGATGGGGTTTCACTGGACCCCACTAGGGTAAGGGGTGCCAAGGCAAACGCGGATGGGAGGAGGGATTTGTAGTGCTGTTCTCCTAAACCCTAGGAAGGCTCAGGCCGCAGCAGGATGGGCTCATAGCCTCCTCCGTTGCTAAAGGACCCTTCTGAAAGTCACCTCTTCTGAGTCCGAAACTGTCGGAAGAGCCACTGGACGATGAAGGGCCACAGGAGGAAGAAGAGCAGCGTGGGAGTCGAAAGCCTGAGAGGCCAAGGCCGTGCCCTGGTCGGGGGCCTCTGCTGCCAAGAGGGAGGGAGTCAGGAGCTACCCCAGGCGCAGCCCAACCCTCCTCAGGGTCATGATTCCAGAACCCACGGGGGGCTCTGCCTCCCTGAGGTTGTTAGATTCTACCCCAGGTTTGCACCACTAATCTGCAATGTGTCCCGGACTTGAACTCCAGCTCCCTCTCATGTTCCAGTGCCTGGTGCCAGAGGCTGAGGGAGGAACTGGTCTAAGCTGGCTCCTCTGGGCCACAAAATAATGACCCTGTTGGTAGGACTTGAAGACTCCTGTATTGTAAAGGATGTGCTACAAATTTCAGACGAAGACCCTGGGTACTTGGATATTAGTTTCTAAATGGTATTCCCTAGAGAAGTGGCTCACTCCAGGCTAGGGCTGGGAAGGAAGGGGAAGGTGGGACTTCATATGCCAAAAAGCAAGGTAGCTTCTAACCATGAATAAGGTCGTGTTCTAAAGATAGGGGACCTGGCATAAAAGGGTCTCTACCGGCCAAAGTCAAGACAATTTGGGGATCAAAAAGAATGATCATGCAGGGTGCCAGTGGCTCATGCCTGTAATCCTAGCTACTCAGGATGCAGACATCAGGAGGGTCTGGTTCAAAGCCAGCCCAGACAAATAGTTCTGGGAGACCTATCTCAAAAAACCCTTCACAAAAATAGGGCTGGTGGAGTGGCTTAAGGTGAAGGCCCTGAGTTAAGCCCTAGTACCTCAAAAAAAATTTTTATAGGCGATTAGAATACTAAATCTTTAAAATTCAGGCGTTCATTATGAGACTCAAGAAAACTAGAAACTTGTCACCATTGAGGAGGCTTCCTAGTCAACTCCTTAAAGATAATTAAGGGCTGGGGTATATACCTCAGTGGTAGAGTGCTCACTTAGCATTTGAGAGGCCCTAGGTTCAATCCCCAGGATCGCAAAAAAAAAAAAAAAAAAAACCCAAGATATTTCAAGAGAAAGAATTAAGTACTTATCCTGCCTTTCCATAAGCAACTGTATTTCACAGAAACTCTATGGGAAAATATTAACTAATAAGTGTTACAGGAATTTAAAAACATTTTTTTGTAACTGCTAAGTAAATGATTGTTTAAACATTAACAGTTGTTGTCAAACACTGTGTGGCAAATGGGGTTGTTCAGGAACTGGATATTCCCTGCCTTCAAGAGGAAAACTCGACTGTACAGAGGTGGGATCAGATGGTTACCCCACATCTACTCTAGGACCACTAGTGGCGGACATACAGAGACTAATGTCCCCTTGATGTGAAAAACATCACCTCTGATGTCATGGGGTCCAAAATGTTAACTGGATCCTAAATCCAGTCATTAATCTCCTGTCCAGTTCACAGGAAATGCAATGCACAGAGGAATCAGATGTGATCAGACACAAAAGGAGAAACATTCTAAAGGACCTCGGTTCGGCCTTGTCAGCAAGGGAAAGGACGGGTCTAGATGGAAAGACACTTAGGCTGGGGATGTAGTTCACTGGTAAAGCACTTGTCTAGTGTGCTTGAGGCCCTGGGTTCCATCCCAAGCACTGAAGAAATAATGACAACAATAAAAGACAAAGGACAGAGGAGAGGCCGGCAGTGTCGCTCAAGTGGTAGAGCAGTGCACAGCAAGCCTAAGGCCTGAGTTCAAACCCCAGTACCACCAAAAAAAAAAAAAAGATGAACCAGGTGCAGGGTGTGGTCCTGCACTGGACAAACAGCAGCTGGAAAAGGCAGTTTCAGGACAACTGGGGAAATCTGAACTTGGACTGGGTTGATGATATTAAGGAATTAACTGTGTGATAAAATGGTGTAGTTTTGCTAGGTACTAGAATGTTCTTATTTTGAGAAATGTAAATCCCAAGTATTTCAGGGTGGAATCCTATGATGTCCGTAATCTACTTTAAAATCCTCAGCATTTCAGGTTGGTAGAGGTGAAAAAAAAAAAGAATAATGCTTTGTGAAGGGAGGGGAGACAGTGTTGAAATCTCTGTCACAAAGGCTCACAGCCACTGTGTTCAGTGGGTTAGGGGTCACCCCAGAGGCCCCCACAATAGAACAACTCAGCCCTTTCCTGTCCCAGCCACTCCATGCTTCTCAAAAACAGATCATTCAGAATGGTAGGTTTATGAGGGGAGATAGCCTTGGGGCCACTCCCAACTCCATCACTTGATGTTAACCATAGTAATAATAACCACCCCATTCAAGGAGCCTTGCTATGCACTGGGCAATGAAAAAGCCTCTATGTGCATTATTTAGTCCATAGAAGCTCAGTGAGGTTGTGCCAGGCTGTGTGCCCTCAGGCAAGTTACTCAGCCTTTCAGAGCCTTAATTTCCCTGTTGAAGGAAAAGGGAGATGAAAAGAAAATCTGTGTCATAGGATCACTGTGCAGGTCCAATGAGAGAGTGCAAAGTGTTTGGCACACCACTGGGCTCCAAAAATTTCATCTGTTAATTATTCTGCATGAGCTAGGGTATAAAGGGATGATATATGCAGGACTGACTGTACGGGGGTAAACCCTAAATATGGGAACAGGAGTCCTGGCTGAGAGAAAACAGGAACCCTAGCCCCAATGCAAAAAGCAGACACACCTCATGGCCCTTCTACCTCTTGAGAGTGGCCTCATGCTTGATTTCTCTTGGGCAGAGATTGTGAGGAACTCATGGTAGACACACACAGAATTCTGTTGCAATGTGACCCTGACCTTGAAGAGTGTGTATGGGGGGTGGTGCAGGGGGAGACACTCACCTGCTCAGGGGGCTGGGGCTTGCTCTCTAGAATCTGAAGTCTCCCCTGGACATCCTGCATGCTCTCCTGCAGTGCCTGAACAGTCCTCACCAGCCACCTGTCCAAATCCTGGGGCCCCAGCAGGCTGCCCCCCAATCCCTCTGTGGAGCATAGAGACATAAGGAAGGGGACTCAGGAGACAGTTTGGCTATAGCAAGGGAGGCAAGAGCTGGGGCAGGTCCAGGGAAGTATAGGAGTAGAACTTGGTCCTCCATCCCAAGTGTGTCTTTCAAAGTCACTGGGTGGGGTTGGGGAGCTGAATTCCAGCAATGCTACTGCTTAGCAATGATTTGAGCAAATCATTAGCTTCTCTGAATCTCTTTTTTTGCGGGGGAAGGCGATACTAGGGTTTGAACTCAGGGCTTCATGCTTGCTAGACAGGCACTCTACCACTGGAGCTACTCTGCCAGCTGTTTTGTGTTGGGTATTTTAGAGATAGAGTCTTGTGAACTATTTGCCCAGGCTGGCTTGGAACCACTAGATTTCTGATTCTGCCTCCTGAGTAGTTAGATTACAGGTGTGAGCCACCAGTGCCTGGCTTCTCTGAATCTCTTTTTGTCATCTGAAAATTAGGGGAGGAAGTCATCTTCCTCACAAGCTGACTGTTCAGAGTAGTAAAGGAGATGACATTTATGAAAGTGTCCCTTTGGGGACTTGACACACAGGAAGTTCTAGAAGGGATAGGGTATTTTGTTCTTTCAGAGTCCCAAACAAGAGGCCCAGAGAGAGAGCCATGCACTGTGGCTGATCAGCTGCCCTTAGCATCTCAGAGCACACAGGTCCCTGGAGACCCTCGGGACCTGAGGAGCCAGGGCAAGGATTTTGCTCACCCAGGCAGGTGTCTGGTTGTTGGGTAGTCCTTCCCAGACAGAGGCTGCTCTCTAGTGCCTGTGCTGGACTTCCACCTTTGCCCTAAGAGGGCAGCCAAGGGAAGGCCAGGGGACAGCAAAGGGGGTGAAAAGTTGGCAGGAGCTCACCTTTCTCGCTGTGGGGCTCAGGACTGTTTCTGGTGTCAAACTGTCTTCCAGCTGCTCCTCTCTGCTCTGCCTGAACCTGCTGAGGTGAGGCACAGGTTCCAGGGTGGGGCTGGGACAACTGGGGTACAGTGGGGTGGGGAAGGGATGGGCATGGAGGGTTGTCTCACCAGCTGAGGCTCTAGTTGCTCCAGGGAATCACAGAAAACCTCCAAGTCCAGGTCTCTGAGTGGCTGGGACTCTGGGGAGAGGAAGGGAGGGTTATTGCCAAGAGAGGGGTCCTAGAGGGAGGGAGGTTGGGCAGCAGCTCTTGTACAGGAGATGCTAGAGATACTGCCACAGCAGGAGTGATATGTCCCAGAAGTGAAGCTGAGCCTGTCCTTGGCTCCTCCCTTTCTAGAGGTGCCTTCCCATACAGCCTGGGTTTGGTACTTTGTCCCTCCTGTCCAAGCACTAACCTGGGTTTTGGGGTGTTGGTTCCTTGGGGGGGCTGGAAGTCTCAGGGACAACCCCATCATCTCTATTCCATACCTGCTCTTTCCAGCCTGTCAAGACACAGCACCCAGAGGTGAGGCAAGGAAGAGATTGGCACCTTCCAGTGAGATCAAGTCTCTTGTCCCCATTAACCATGAACACAGCCGGACACCTAGCTCATCAGGGGCACTACCTGGACTCTCTGTCCCCCAGCTCCCCTAATGTTGCAGTGTGCCCCCCCCACGCCCCTAAGAAAGTTCACTCTGCATATTCAGTGTTCCCATTCTGGGGATCTGACCTGTGACCCTTCTCAGAAAGGTTTCCGGAGGCCTTGGCATGTCAGGGATCACCTGGTACAGGGGCTCGAAGTAGCCAAACATTTCCTTGGCCACCTCCCCCAGAGGCACTGTGTCGATCACCTGTGCAGAAGGAGCTAAGGTTCTCACGGGGCTGTGATAGTCCCTCCCAGCCGCCCCCTCGTCCTCACTGGGCTGGGTCACTCCCCTTGCTCCCATCATTACACCACCTCCTTGCACCCAGGCAAGCAGGAGTGAGGGGCAATGGAAAGATAGTGATTCCCAAAGCGGTGTCAATGGACAGGAGACAGATGGCGGTCAGTACTGGAAGGGTGAAGGGCAGGCCACCTGGCTGGAAGCTTGGGGACAAAGAATCTCAGCCCTCTCTACCTTCTGTGCCACCAGCTTCATCTCAGTGATGTAGGCAGACATGGCCTCCTCCCTGCTCATCTTGCCCAGGCTGTTCCAGGCATCCCTGGGGGCAGAGAGCTGTGAGCAAGCTGGATGACAGCTGGGGTGTGTTTGCCCAACAGGTAGAGCGCTCACCACTTGTAACGTCCAATGGGATCCCAGAACCCAGGACGGGGCACCAGGCAGGGCCCCATGGTAGCCTGCTTGTAGTAGCTATAGAATCGCAGCATCTCTTCATAGGAGGGGCGGTAAGAACCTGGGCAGAGGGTTGGGAAGTGGAGGCACAGCATCACCCCCAGCTCCAGGAGGATGGAGCCGGGGAACTCTTGGAGAAAGCAGAGATGGTAAGGGGTCCCACCCAGGGCATCTGGGATAGGAAGCAGAGGGGAGTCCCAGCACAGCCCAGGCAGGGACTTGTCTCCAAACACTGCAAGGATCAGGGCCACTGATCAGTCCCACAGTGGGACCCTGCCGTCCTGAACCCTAAAATGCGGGTCCCTGCATCCTCACCGTTCTTAGGCAGGTTCTGAATGACACTGACTGCTGCGTGGAACTGTTTCTGGCAGTCAGGCTCTTCATTCTCGGTGCCCATGCTGCTCCAAGCCCTGCGGCCCTACTTTGGAGCGACTCTGCAAGAGCGAGCATGGTGTGAGCGGGCCTCAGCGTCCCCGTGGCACCCTAAGCCTCGGGTTCACTTCCCGAGCTCTCTGAGACCTCAGAGACACCTTGGGAGTCAGAAGTTGCAGGGAGGAAACGCCTTTTCCTACCTCAAGGCAGCGTGAGTGGGGCCAGGGTGGCGAGGACCTCAGTAGATGGGCAGAGAGGCAGGTGGCAAGGGTCGCAGAGTCAGATCCGTCTCCAGATGTGCCTCTCTAGGTACACGTTTCCAACTAGTGGACAGACTAATGGGCCAGCGAAGAGTCAGGGCGGGGCAAACAAGCTCCCACTCTGGCCCTCTGAATCTCCGCCCCGCACTCACCCCGCGGCGCCCACTGCCGGGACACCTTGGTCCTCTCTCACTACTAGCCGACGGCTTCCGACTGACCTCGGGGTCCAGGGTGGCGGGGATGAGGACGCAGAACGAGGGGGGAAATTTGAGCCAATCAGAGGCACCGTTTCACATTCAGCTTCTGTACCTTAACCACTCAGAAAGGTCCTTTCAAGATTATGCAAATAGATTCGCTATGCCTCTCCTATTCAGGCGGGGCTAATATACAGGCCCGACTCCTCATCCACCGACAGCCAGGGGAGGGCGGCACCGCCCCCTAGTGGACATAGTTGCGGAGCCCTTGCTCCCCCTGGTGGAAATTCACTGAGTGCGCCGGCGGATACCGATCCAGCATATCTGAGACACTTAGGCGCTGAGACTAGAAAACAAAGTCAGATCCTGGGGCTCGTCATTCTGGAAGAGGAACGTCAGAGCTGAGTTTTGGAAAATATAAACGTAAGCCAGGAGAATAACGAGGAAGGTTATTCCTGGAGGAAGGAATCCAAGAATCAAAAGCACAGAGGCAAAGGCTTGATGTTCACGAAGAAAGTTCAGGATCCCAGAGGCAGTGTATGCAGAATTTCTGGGTCGGGGATATCTGAGAATATGGTAGAGAGAGCAAGTAACTGGCCATTCTAGATCACCAGAAACGCAGCTTTCTGTGTTCGAGGCCCCGCGATTGGCCACCGCAGAGCGGCAGTATGCGCCCAGCTTTTTGCCCGAACCTAAAGCACCTTCTTGCAGACAATACAGCTTCCTGGACATCCCACACCCTTCGCGCTCCCAAGGGCCCATCTGACGTGGCCATCAGAACCTGACGCTTGCCCACGCGTTGACGTCACGGACACCTACACAGAATGCCACGGCAGTCCCAGCACCATGGAGCGCCGGGAAGGGGTGCCAACCCGTCCAAGCTTCGAACCCCAGAATCAGTTCCCGGGACTCTAGATTTAGTACCACTCTCTGGACCAGTCAGCTTTGAAGCTTCCACCACAGAGGGGACGCAACTGGCCTGGCACTCTGAGGTCAATCCAGTGACGTCACAGCCAGGGCTTCCCCGCCCCCCGTTCCCGCCCCGCTGCGTGGCTCGGCTCCCGGGTTCTGTTGGCTCTCCGGACCGGAGGAGCTTTTAGCCCAAGACCAGTCACCCTGAGACCTGTCCCTGTCTGGCTCTGGGCGGGACCGGGCAGGAGAGTGGAGTGGGTCCGCATGGAAGGTCCCGGGAAAAGAGAGTGTGTCTGTGCGGGATGACAGCCTTCGTCTTCTGTGTCCCCACCTTTTCATGAGCGCTCTGGCCACTGATGGGGCCGAGATTCCAGGATGGTTTGGGAAATGAGGAGACGATCTCACGAGCAGGGGCGAATGTGGAGACTTGCCGGGACTCACAGCTCCGGGCCTGGGGTCCCCGCGGCCACCTCGCCCCGCCCCCGTGCAGCCCTCGCCCCGCCCCTCTGTCCTCCCCTCGTCCCTCCCTCTCTCCCTCCTCCCGAGGTCGTCTCCTCCCTACTCTCCCGGCGCCGCTAAGTTTCTCCGCTCGGGATCGCGCACAAAGCCGGGGCCGGGCGCGAGCGGTGTCCCTGCTGTCCACTCCTTGTGCGCAGACCCTAGGGCCCGGCCCCGGTCCCACCGAGCCATGCTGTGCGGCCACTGGAGGACGTGCCGCCGCCCACCCGAGGAGCCCCCGGTGTCCACCCAGATCGCAGCGCCCCTCGCACTCCCGCCCTCGCCCGCGTCCCCGGACGGCGGCACCAAGAGGCCTGGGCTTCGTGCACTGAAGAAGATGGGTCAGTGACGCGCGGAGGCGGTCCAGGGTGGGAGCAGACTGTCCCCAGGGGCGCAGTCTGGGAAGAGCTGGGTGTTCGGACAACCGTTCGTGGGCTTCCCAGGCTGCGTGAAGTTGGGGAAACTAAGGAGAGGAGGGTTAGCACCGTCCCAGCTGGAGTCGCACCTAGGGTCACCCGAGGTTCTCGATGTCCTTTGTTCCCCACCAGGAGGCGCCCACGGGGCGTGCTGGAGTGAGAATTTGGACAAGGGGCACGAATGGGGTCGCCGAGGGCAGGGAGAGTGGAGCGGGAGATACAGGCTTGGGGTGTCCCTTGGCCTTTCCCCAGCGCCTTCCGAGTCTGTGGCCGTCCCTGGGTTCTTGGTGGCTCTTAGGGATGAGCTGTTTGTGGCTGGCTTCTGTGGAAGAGATCCGGGGGGTTCCCCACAGGGGCAGCAGCAGCAATGTCGCACTAGCAGGACTGGCCTATCCAGTGAGAACACGATTGTTCACACGAAGCCCAGGTTGAGCTCAGGCTTCGGGGAAGTTACCAGTCCTGAAGAAATGTAACTGCAATATTGAGTATGACCCAGACACAGCACAACCCAGCATGGGTGGTTTGCACGTGTGAGGTCATGCAATGCTTTTCACCTTCCTAGGAGGTGGATGGTATAACCCTTATTTCGTAGATAAGGAAACTGACTCAGAGAGGTCAAGGGATTTGTCTATGACCCCATAGTGAGCAAAGCATGCTCTCGGGCTGTGCTCCACCACCCCACCGCTGGCATGGCACCCTGGAGTCTGGGCAAAGCAAGACTCAGTGGACCCACGAGTGAGGGGCTTGAACAAGGAACATAGGTGAAGTGCTGTGCAACTTGAAGGAGTGTGTTAGAACGAGCCAGAATTCACCGTCCCGATTGCCAGCCTTTCTTGCCTCTGCTTCACTGCTGTCCTCTTCTGTCACTCATTCCACCTGAATTTGGTGCTGACAGTTCTGAGCACTGTGCCTGACTCTGTTTATGGAGACCTAAGATGAGATCTCTGCCCTGCCCTCCATTCAGTATGTGGCCTATGTGTAAGCAAAAAAGACAGACACCATCCGACCCTGTCCTCAGAGAGCTGAACAGCAAAGCAGGAAGGTCAGCCCATGGAGCCAAGGAACAGGACCTGGAAGTGAGGTGCTGGGGGCTCTACTGCACCCCAGAGCTTGAGCGAGCCTGGCGTGGAGAAAGGAGAGGCGGGTAGGACCAGATCCTCAGCTCTCCCCGCCCCAAGAGAGCTATGGACTTTATTGAAGGGCAGTCAGGGGCCCCAGAAAGGTTTCGGGCAGGAATTATGTGGCAGTGAGTTGAGTGGAGGGTAGGGTGGATGAAGGCAGGGGCAAAACAGAGGGACTTGTAGGAGGGAGACAGAGAAAGCTGGGAAAGGGGAATTGGGTGTCATATTTGGGCTGGTGCAGGGGAGGCGGGTTGCAGAAGCTCCTAGAAGGTAGACTGGTTGACTCCTCGATGGGCAGTCTGAACAGTTTATCTGGGCTAACAAGGAGTGTGTTTTGGGAAGAGGGGTTGGCCATGGTGAAGCAGCCCCTCCAGGGGTTGTGGGTGCTGCTGGAGGCAGAGATGATGTGGACAGCCTCTTCCTTCCATGCCCATTCTCTGAGCCTCACCTGTGGCCAGGGTGCTGAGCTAGGGGCCAAGGCCACCGACAGGGATGATGGGGAGCCTTGACTTCAGGTGCTCAGTGTAGTGCGCAGAGCTTCTAGACACATAATTACCGAGGAGCCCGGCTCAGCACCCATCCGCTGAGTAAGGCTGCACGGGAGCTCCTGGCACCTCATCGGAGTGACACTGTCAGGAACTATGTGAGTATTGGAATGTCATCTCTGCCATTGGCTTGTCCTGCTGAGCGACTGCTGAGTGACCACTGAGAGAGGAATGTGGGTCTGTGGGAAATGCCCCTTCCTCAAGACACACTGACTGAGCCCAGTGACAGGGCAAAGACAAAACCCAGGGATCCTGGGGCTGAGCCTCTTGGGACATCAGGTGCCAAGGCCGAGGCCTGCCACCCAGGCAGCTTCCACTCGCAGCGGAGTGGCTGCCCCTCCCAAGATGACCTTCATCTCTCCACCCTGTCCTTGCCATTGCCACGCCCCTAGGCTAAGGGAGAACAGATCTTATTTCAGATCAGGTCGAGGAACTGGGGCAGGGAGTGGCTCAAAGGGGCCTGAGGGGAGAAAAGGACTGTAGAGTCAAACGCAGGGGAACCAGGCCAAGGAGGGGTGCAGAGGAGGTCCCCACTGAGTGGGAGCCATCCATGCAGCCCTGAGCTGACTGCCTGCTGAGCAGGAATACCAGAGGGTGACAGAGAGCCCAAGGGAGCACACTGGCACTGAGCCTGCCTTGTCCTCATCCTACTTAGTCTTCAGATGCCCTTCGGGGAAGGTGATGTCCCTAGTGATGGGAGAAACTGGAGGTGGAAGGGTGAAGTCTCACCAAAGCATTGATTAAGAAGCAGCACCTGAGCCAGGTGCCAGTGGCCCACACCTGTAATCCTAGCTACTCAGGAGGCAGCAATCAGGAGGATCACGGTTCAAAGCCAGCCTAGGCAAATAGTTCGAGAGACCCTATCAAAACAATCCATCACAAAGAAAGGGCTGGTGGAGTGGCTCAAGGTGTAGGCCCTGAGTTCAAGCCTCAGTACTGAAAAAAAAAAAAAAAACTTAGCTATTTTTTGAGACTGTCTCTCTGTGTAACCCAGGCTAGTCTTGAACACTATTCTTCTACCTTAGCCCCCCAAGTGCTGCTGGCATTATAAGTGTGAGCCACTACATCCAGCTCAATGGTACTTTGTACATTATTTTTTTTTCTTTTTTGGTGGGACTGGGGTTAGAACATGGGGCTTTGTACTTGCAAAGCAGGTGCTCTACTGCTTGAGCCACACCTGTAGTCTATTTTGCTCTGATTATTTTGGAGCTGGGAGTCTCACAAACTGTTTAGGAGGGCTGGCCTCAAACCTCCATCCTCCCAATCTCAGCCTCCCAAGTAGCTAGGTGTGAACCACCAGCGCCTGGCTTGTTACTCTTTACTGCCAGATTTAATGAGTACTAATTATCACCTTTATAAGGACTTGCCCGTGTTTTGTATATTATTTCATTCCATGCTTGTAATCATATGAGGTGGGCGGTACCATGAGCCTCCTTTTATAAATGAGGAAATGGGCCCAGAGAGATTTGATAACTTGCCCAGGGTTCAAAACCAGAAGTACCTGAGAAATTTGAACCCAGGCAGCAAGGGCCCTCCTTGAGTTGCCAAATAAGAAACATCCAGCTAAGTTTGAATTTCAGATAAACAAATGAATAATTTGGGATATATATATAGTGTATGTGTGTACTGAGGATCAAACCCAGGGCCTCATACCTGCTAGGCAAGTGTTTACCCACTAAGCTGTACCCTCCAGCCCCATAGGACCTACTTATACTGGGGGACATGGCCAAAGTAGTAGAGCCTGGCAAGGGCAACTGGAGTTCAAACCCCAGTGCTGCAAAAGAAAAAAGAAAAAAAAAAGTATTTGCTATTTATCAGAAATTCACAGTAAACTGGCATCCTGAGTTGCCTCTGGAAACCTATTTCCCAGGCGCCCTGTCTGTGTCTGTGCCCTGATGCTCCACCCAGATCCCTAATCCTCTCAGTGCACAGACAGCTGGGTAGCCATAGTCCTGTCCCCTTCCCTCCCCTGCCTATACACACTACCAAGTGCCCCTGGGCAAGGGGGTCTCTCCTGATGGCCCACACCGGACATCTGCTGCAGGGTGAGTGGAGTTGTCAGGCTTGAGTTGGCGGGGGTGAGGGGGGTCTTCAGAGTGCCTCAGCCCTGGCAGGTGCCTGGCCTGGGTGGTGGGGAGGGCTGGGGACAAACCTCCTGGCAGAGCAGGGGCACTTCGGGCAGGACTGGGGCTGGCTCTGTCATGCCCTGTGGCCCCTCTTCCCTTTCTCCTCTCCACTAACTCTGCACCTATGCCAAACTTTGTGCCTGCTCTGGCCAGAGAAGGTGCTATACCGTCTTCTTTCTGGTCCACAGGGGAGGCCCTGCCTGCCCTTCCTGCTTTTGTTGGTGTTCCCAGGAATGTTAGGACTCTGGCACTGAGTCCCTCCAGCCTCAGTGTGGCCGCCAGCTAGGATAAGGGGAACATACTCCATGCCTGAGGAGTTGGGGCTGCCTGTTGGCTACAGGATTTGGATGAGAAGGTGATGAGGACCTTGGCCATTGTGTCCTCTCCCAGCCCCTCATGGCCTCTGCCACCAGCAAAGGCTGCTCTTTTCCCTGCCCCCACCCTTGGCACAAGCTGTTGGCTGTCCTGTTCCCAACATGTCTTGCATTCCTGCCCAAGCCCTTTGTGCTCTTCCTGAGTGTGCACTGGCTCTCACATGCTATTTTCCTCCCCAGAGAACTCACCTTCCTCCTGCCCCACCCACTCCGACACACACACACACACACACACACTGTATACACACACTGTATGCACACACCCTGGCTGGAGACTGACCCCTCCTATGCACCCCACCCTCTGCCTACCATCCATCCATTACACACCCCGAACCTCACAGCACCCCCACCCCTCCCCAGATGCCTGTGCTGGCCTCTGCCCCCACATGCTTGGATCCATGCCTGCCTTAGGCCACCTGCATTATTCTCAGCAATGCAAAGCTTTCCTCCCCCAACTTCAGTGGCCCATCTATGACAAGGGCAGGATTTGGGGACCCCTTCTAGCTTTGGCCTGAAGTAGTCTCCTGCCCTCAGCCTTGGCCACCCAGACGTAACTGCATGGGCCCCAGACCGACCATCCACAAATCACGCTGGGTGGGTGGCAGTACAGAAACACCAGGCCTGACATAAGCAGTGGGCTCAGGAAAGGTGTTGGAACCCAGGCTGACAAGGGTGAATAGGGCGAGAGAAGAACCGAGCTGCAGACCATGGGACTGAGGAGGGTAGGTACACTCCATCACCTGCGTGCCTCACCTCCCCACAGCCCTGCCTCTGTTCCCTCTTTATTATCTTTTACTGAGCACCCACTAAGGACCAGGCCTGAAACTGGTGCTACCTGCTATTGCTCATTCTTCACACTTAGACCCCCCAACTCCTAGCTCAACCCAACTCCCCACTTACCCATCTGGTAATCCAGGGCAAGTTGGTTAGCAGTTCTGTGCTTCTTCAGCAACTTTATTGAGATATTAATTCACATACCATATAATTCATCCATTTAAAATATAGAGTGGTTTTTAATATATTGTTAAAATGTTTTAATTGTAAAGTAGGGCTGGATGCAGTAGCTCATGTCTGTAATCCCAACACTCAGGTGGCTGAGACAGGAGGATCGAGAGCTCAAGGCCAGCCTGGGCTATGTAATGAGTAAAAACCTGTCTCAAAAAAGAAAAGAAAAAAAATGGTGGGCTGGAAGGGAGTGGCTCCAGTGGTAGAGCGCTTGTCTAGCAAGCATGAGGCCCTGAGTTCAAACCCCAGTACCACTAAAAAAGAAAATTGTGATAAAGTACAATAACATAAAATTGGCCAATTTTATGGTAGAGCACTTGCCTAGCATATGGGAGACCTTGGGTTCCATCCCCAAAAAACCAATCCAGAAAAGAAAAAACCTGGCCATTTGGACTCTTTCTCAGTGGCTGTTTCACTGCCACTACCTGTTTCCAACGCTTTTTCCACAAACCCAAACAGAAATGGTGTAATCACTAAGCAGTAACTCTCCATTCATTCCTCCCTCTCCCGATCCCCGGTAACCTCTAATTTACTTTCTGTCTATGAATTTGCCTATTCAGGGTACCCCAATTTAATGGAATCACATAATAGTTATCATTTGGGGTCTGGCCTCTTCCAGGTTTTTCAAGATTCATCTATCATTGTGGTGGTGTCAGATTTCACTTTTTTTGTTTGTTTTGGTGACACTGGGGTTTGAACTCAGGTCTTTGGACTTGCAAAGCAGGTGCTCTATTGCTTGAGCCACACCTACAGTCCATTTTGCACTGGTTTATTTATTTATTTATTTATTTTGCAGTAGTGGGGTTTGAATTCAGGGCCTCCACCTTGAGCCACTCCACCAGCCCTTTTTAGTGATGGGTTTTTCCGAGATAGGGTCTTGCCAACTACTTATTTGCCCAGGCTGGTTTCAAACCTTGATTCTCCTGATCTCTGCCTCCTGAGTAGCTAGGATTACAGGTGTGGGCCACCAGTGCCCAGCTCCACTGGTTGTTTGGAGACAGGGTCTCATGAACTATTTGCCTGGGCTGTCCTCAAACCAAGATGGTCCTGATCTCTGCTTCCCAGTTAGCTAGGATTATGGTTGTGAGCCACCATCACCGGCAGCTTTCCCTTCTTTTTAAGGCTGAATGACATCTCATGGATCTAGGTGCCACATTTTGCTTACCCATTCATCTGTGATGGTCACCTGGCTTGTTCTCACCTTCTGGCTATCCGCCCTCATTTTTCCTGCTGTTATTTCATGATTATTTCCCCACCCACTCAGTCAAGAGTCATCCTGGCCATAGTGCAGGGTCAGACCAAACCTCATAGACACAGTGGATGTGAGAGCCTGTGCACCTGTTCAGAGCCGGTAGGAATGAGGCCGAGCAACATCTGTGGGGTTGGGTCTAGCAGGACCTGCAGGACTCCTGGGTGGCTGGGTGGAGAGCCAGGGCCTAGGCCTCCTGCTGACCTTGTCCCTCTAGGGGCCTGCCCTTCTCGTCTCACACCCTGGTCCCCTCATTGGTGTGGTTTAGAAGCATTCACCCTAGGACTCAGCCCCTGGCCCCGCCTCATTGTATTTGATGTTTTCCTTGGGTGTGTGGTTGAGGGTCTGTGTAGTCCAGAGGCCAGTGCCATGTGGTTGGGCAACCTGGAATGCCACCCCTCCCCACCAGTAGGCTCCAGGGTGTGTGTGTGTGGTGAGGGGAGGGATTAAAAGCTAGGAATAAGGGTCCCTTCAATGAGGAAACCTGCCCCAGTGGGGTCCTTCAGGCATTAGGGCTGCTTGTCTCCATAGCCTGTTTGCAGAAGGCTCTGGACAAAACAGGCCTGCTGTGACTCACCTCCATTTCCGGCCTTAGTCATTCACCAGTCCCTTCCCCACCCCCACGGGCTTGGCATCAGAGGACTGGCCTGGTTAGGGGAGACTTTCCCCCTGGCTGAGGGGTGGAGAAGGGCTGGGCCCAGTCATAGTAGCACTGCAGCTTCCCTTTACTGTGCTGCCCCCACCATGTTTTTTTCTCTGGATGAGAGAATTCAGAGGTTCCCTGGGTGTGGCAGGAAGGGGACAAGGTGGTGGGGGGGGGCGGGGGGGGAGCCTGGCGAGTCCCTTGGCCTGGCTTTTTGTCTGAAAGGAGGGTTCTGCCTCCCCTTGCTGACTGGGGGCCGCAGGTGGGCACTGTGACCCAGAGGGCCACAGTGTAGACCCTGAGAGACTCCTCTGAGGCTGTGAGGCCCCTGGGGAACCACAGCTGCTTAAGGAGGTCAGGTTTAAGACTGAATGACATCCGGTTGGATCTGGGTGCCACATCTTACCCATTTATCTGTGAAGGACACTTGGGTTGTTCCTACTTTCTGGCTATCCACCTTCATTTTTTCCTGCTGTTATTTTATGATTATCCCCCCACTCAGTCAAGAGTGGCTATGGCTCTGACCCAGGATTGGGAGGGACCGCTTGGATCTGTTAGGGCCCAGCAGGGAAACATAGCCACCTAAGGAGGTTTCTCCTGCGCCTCTGAAACCCTAAGTCTTAGTCATGGTCACCTGCAAAGCCATAAGGTAAAATTTTTAAATGCAGGTGCCCAGGCTCCACCCCACACCTGGTGGGGTCAACATCTCTGGCCCCCAGGTGATTCTGATGCAGCCAGGGCTGAGAAACCCTGACCCTGAAGCCTCACCCTGAACTCGGGAAAGACAGGGCAGGGTTGGCTAGGGTAGAATGCATTTAGTCCTGCCTTCCTGTCCATCTGCCCATCCTTCCATAAACACTAGCTAGAGCCAGGCTTTGATGAGCACTGTGGGGAGATAAGACCTCATTCTGCCCTGCTTATTAAAGTCTCCTGAGATTACAATATAGGGGTTTGGTGGTGGTGGTAGTTTTTTATTTTTTGAGGTTTTGTTTGTTTGAGACAAGGTCTTGCTATGTAGCCCTTGCTGGGCTCAAACTCAAGCTCCTCTTGCCTTAGCCTCCTGAGTGCTGAGATTATAGAAGTACACTACCATCCCTGGCTGTTGTTTTTTAACTAAAAGTGGCGGTCAGGGAGGGAGAACTCCCATTTGATGACAAATCAAGAAAGGCTTCCTGTAGGAAGTGGTAGCTGAGCTTGTCTTTGAAAAACTCAGCTACAAAGAAGGGTGGGGCGGGGAGGGGTCTTACAAAACTCTGAAAGATAGTGAGTTAGTGGGTGAGGTCCAGGGTTTTAGGCTTGATTCCTCAGGTCAGAGTTTGCAGGGGCCCCAAAGGCAAACTCAGCAGTGGGACATGTTAAAAGAAAGGGAGGATGGGAGGCATGCTATGGAGTTTCACTTGGCTCCAGTGGTTTTGGTTTTTTGTTTTTGCAATTTGATTTAGTTGCCAACATTAAAAAATGTAGAAGCTTTGCATCCAGTTCCAGATTCCTGTTTTCTGGAAACTCTGGACCTCATCTACTCCTGGCTCTTTCCTCCTTTCGAAGGGTGTGGGCTCTCCAGTGTAGTGTGCCTGGTTCCCACCCCTCCTATGGTCCCTGCTTGTAACCCTTTGGTGTGACTCCCTCTGAGACGTTCAGAGCAGGTCCCTAACCAGGCTGGGCAGTGCTTGGTCCAGGGCTTTGAGCCAGGACAGGCAGAGCCTCTCCAGGGTGTTGTTGGTCAGGATGTAGAGACCTCTGTGCTTAGGGTTGCTGCTGAATTTTGGATTTTTCAGTAGGTATTTTATGGTTGGAGAGCTCAAGTCTCCAATGGCAGTGTGATCTCTGCTGTTCTCAGCTTTGGGGAAGCAGGATTGAGGAGCTTGGGTTGCAGTACGACAGACGTACGTTAGATAGTGAGACTTCTTTTCTGATAGCTGCAGTTTCACAGCAAGGAAAAGGCTGCTGGTGGCAGGTTATGGGCTTGCAGGCATTGATGGAGGGATGGCAGAAAGGATGATTTATTTTTAGTTTTAGTTTTTTGGTACTGAGAATTGAACTCAGGGCTCAACAAGCCTTGTACCACTTGAGTCACGCACCACCCTGAAGTCCTTTTTTGTTGTTTTGGTTTGGTTTTTGGTGGGACTGGGGTTTGAACTCAGAGCTTCACACTTGCAAAACAAGTGCCCTACTGCTTGAGCCACGTCTCCAGTCCATTTTGCTCTGGTAATTTTGGAAATGGGGTCTCACAAACTATTTGCCCAGTCTGGCCTCGCATCATGATCTTCCTGATCTCAGCCTCCCAAGTAGGTAGGATTGTTGGCGGGAGCCACGAGCACCTGGCTTTAGTTTGTTTTTGAGGTCGGGTCTAGCTAACTTTGCTCTTGGTGTCCTCCCAGTCACCGTGATCCTTCTGTTTTGACTCCCCAGTAGCTGGAATTACTGGCGTGAGCAACGACACCAGCAGAAAGGATGACCTATAGTGAGGTCTTAGTCCCAGGCACTGCCTGCAGGTTGTTAAGCTCTGGGAAACTGCAGAGGCTGCAGTTTGGGATGGAGGACAGAGGGCCTGTTGGAGAGGATGCTTGGTCCTGGGCTGCAAAGCCTAAAGCCGGTGATGGCGGCGTGTTACCATGAGGAGAGCAAAGGGGCCAGCAGGGAAAGGAAGAAGAAGGAAGGAGGGAGGAAGGGCTGGGTTTGGGAGGCTCAGGGAGCGGGGCGGCAGGTCTAGCTTGGGGGAAGCAGCGGGAGGTTCTGGCAGAGCCAGGTCCCACGATGCCCCTGTCCCCCCTCAGGCCTGACGGAGGATGAGGACGTCCTGGCCATGCTGCGGGGCTCCCGGCTCCGCAAGATCCGCTCGCGCACTTGGCACCAGGAGCGGCTGTACCGGCTGCAGGAGGACGGCCTGAGCGTGTGGTTCCAGCGGCGCATCCCGCGCGCGCCGTCGCAGCACATCTGTGAGCGGGGACCGGGGTGGCATCGGGCAGGGCGAGGGGGCAGTGCCGGGCACGGTGGCCGCTGTCTGACCCGGCCCTGCCTGCAGTCTTCGTGCAGCATATCGAGGCGGTTCGCGAGGGCCACCAGTCCGAGGGCCTGCGACGCTTCGGGGGCGCGTTCGCGCCTGCGCGCTGCCTCACCATCGCCTTCAAGGGCCGCCGCAAAAACCTGGACCTGGCGGCGCCCACGGCCGAGGAGGCGCAGCGCTGGGTGCGCGGCCTGGCCAAGCTGCGGGCACGCCTCGACGCCATGAGCCAGCGCGAGCGCCTCGACCAATATCCTGCCCGAGCACGGAGGGAGGACGCCCCTTGCACAGCCCCTGTCCCAGGCGAGCCATGGCTCTCTCCTTAAGGACAGCCTGAGACAGCCCCTGGTCTTTGGAACTGAGGGTGGGGACACTCCCCATGGTCTGGCCTGAGTTCTTCCTCCAGTAGGGTTGCAAGTGAAGGTGGGGCCTTCCAGTTTGGGGAGCCCCAGCCCCCTCAGAAGAAGCACTGTACTCAGGGAGTCCACAGATCCAGGGGAAAGTCCAGCCCCTAGTCCCTGCAATCCCCCAGACCCAGGTAGAGGTGACTTACCTGGGACTTGCCAGCTGGTGGGGGGTGGTGGGCCCAGTCTGTTGCTCTTATTTCCTGAGCACCCACACCTGGATCCACTCCTATCTGCACCGGGCAGACTCGAACCAGGACAGTAAGATGAGCTTCAAGGAGATCAAGAGCCTGCTCAGGATGGTCAACGTGGACATGAATGACATGTATGCCTACCACCTCTTCAAGGTGAACCCTGCCCCTGGCCCTGCCACCACTCTGCTTCCCCCAGCCAAGAGGAACTGGCGCTCCTCCCCCAGCCAGTTGTTGTTGTTGTTTGTTTTTTTGTTTTTGTGAGACTAGGGTTTGAACTCAGGGCTTCAAGTCTGCAAAGATATGGCTCTACTCTTGAGCTATATCTCCAGTCCATTTTGCTCTGGTTATTCTGGAGATGGGGTCTTGAGAACTATTTGCCTATGCTGGTCTTGAACTAACATCCTCCCCAGCTCAGCCTCCCAAGTAGCTAGGAACACAGGCATGAGCCATGGGCACCAGAGCCATGCCTCTTCCTGAAGAAAGGCACCTAGTTACCTTTTCCCCCTCCCCTGAAGCCAAGGGCCCAGAACCTTCCTTGCCTCACAAAGTGAGAAGTAGAGATGTGTTTATGTCTCTCAGTTTGCAGGGCACTGCTGCTACAAGTGACTGTATGTGGCTTGCACACAGGAGCACAGTCATGAGTAGACACTCGTGCACACAGACCACGGGCCCACCACTGTGGCACCTGTAGCATCTCCACAGGTGTCTGTGTGGGAGCTCCAGGAAACACAGGTGAGCTCTGCACCTGTGGACCAGTGGGGCACATGGCAGACACCTGTGTGGAGGCTGACTATTACCAGTCTGTGACCCCAAAAGACAGGAGGGCTCATGGCACCTGTATCTAGGCGACAGCTCTATGTGGGCTACTCTATGAATTCTGATTCATTTATTGCTCATGGACCAGGTGTAAATGTCAGGACGTTGATGTATACACATGGAGGGGCATTGTGGCACAGGGACTCAGTCCTGCCTCAGGGTTATCATTTTCCTCCCACAGTTGATTCCTGGGGTAGGTCATGGTGCCAAGGGACAGACACCAAACTGAAGAGACCGTCCTAAAGTCCTGGCGCTGCAGTTCACCAGGCACATGGGCTGTGTCCAGAATCTGGCTGTTTTTCCACTCAGGAAACGGGGCCGTTGCTTTCCCAGCTGTAACATCATGGGGTGTGTCAATGGGCCAGGTTTCTGAGAGTCTCCCCTCCTCTGAGACCCTGCCCCCTTTTTCCCAGGAGTGTGACCACTCCAACAACGAGCGGCTGGAGGGGACCGAGATCGAGGAGTTCCTGCGGAGGCTGCTGAAACGCCCTGAATTGGAGGAGATCTTCCATCGCTACTCGGGTGAGGACCGTGTGCTGAGTGCCCCCGAGCTGCTGGAGTTCCTGGAGGACCAGGGCGAGGATGGCGCCACCTTGACCCATGCCCAGCAGCTCATTCAGGCCTATGAGCTCAATGAGACAGGTGGGTCTGGGGAAACGGGTGGTTGGGCAAAGTCCCTGGCAACTCTGAGTTCCCAGCCAGGCTAGCTCTGGTATCACTGGCTGGGACACCATCCTGGACCTGTTCCCTCGCCCCTTCCAGACTTTACTTCCGCACCTGTAAAATATCACTGTAGTGTGTCTGCCTTACAGGGTTGGATTGAAGATTAAAGGCGTGGCTTAGCCGCACTGGTGCCTCACGTCTGTAATCCTAGCTACTATGGAGACAGAAATCAGGAGGATTGCAGTTCAAAGCCAGCCTGGGCAAATAGTTAATGAGACTCTATCTCAAAAATACCCAACACACACACAAAACAACAACAAAAAACCCAGGGCTGGAGGAGTGGATCAAGTAATAGATTGCCTGCCTAGCAAGTGGAAGGCCCTGAGTTCAGACTCCAGTACTGCCCAAAAGAAAAAGAAAATAAAAAAGCATGGCTTATGAAAGCAGTCAGTAGGTAGTCTAGTCGTTATTACTATGTTAGCGAGTCACGGGGATACGAACCTGAGGCCCCCTCGATCTCAGTCTCTTCTGCCCTTCTCTGTAGCCAAGCAACATGAACTGATGACACTGGATGGATTCATGATGTACCTGTTATCACCTGAGGGGGCTGCCCTGGACATGGCACACACTTGTGTATTCCAGGACATGAGCCAGCCCCTCACTCACTACTTCATCTCCTCCTCTCACAATACCTATCTGACTGACTCTCAGATCGGGGGACCCAGCAGCACTGAAGCCTATGTTAGGTACTGTGGTGGGGGAGCCCAGCTCTGAGGTGGATATGGGGCTCAACCCTTACTCTGGGATTCCTGGGTCTGTGTGACTCAGCCTGCCCATTGTTTTGTGGCACCCATACAACACCTTGCCTGTCCATCTGTCTGTCCGTTCCCAGAGCCTTTGCTCAAGGATGTCGCTGTGTGGAGCTGGACTGCTGGGAGGGGCCAGGAGGGGAGCCTGTTATTTACCATGGCCACACGCTAACCTCCAAGATCCTCTTCCGAGACGTGGTCCAAGCTGTGCGGGACCACGCATTCACGGTGAGCCCCTGGGACACCATGCCCAGTCCCAGGGCCTTCCTGGTGATCTTGTGCCCCATCTACAGGCCAGGGGCTCTTAGTTCTTCCAAAGGCAAGCCCTTCCCAGGGCATCGTTCATTCACCAAGTGCTGCAGGGTTAATGGGTAGAATAATGCTGATTGAGATGCTCCCTCCTCCCACAGTCATGGTTAACAAATGTGTTAATATCACCAGATTTCCAGGAGAAAACCTTGGGGGTAGGGAAGGACATTTGAGTCATGACCTCCAGCTTAAAAGCTTAGCAGTGGCGTCTACATAAACATTGCATATTCTCTTGAGGTATTCAGACCTCACCATTAGCCGGTGATGGGACAAGACTGGCAACGTAACTGACATGGTCAGTGTCATTAACACATAAAGAGTATTTATGAAAGTCATTCCCCACAGTTGCCCTCAGCTTCCCACATAGTCCTCGTGTTCCCTGAGGCCCCAGATCTGACCTCTGGCCTTCCACACACACAGTGGCCCCTGGGTGGCCCACATCCCATAGACTTGGTCCCTCTGTGTGGGTTCTCCATACAGTCCTGCCTTTGCCTTTCTGTCCTGAAGGGGGTAGAGACTGGGTATAGGGGAGGTGCTGGCAGAGGAAGGGTGAGTGGCTCTGAGCTGCTGCCCTTCCCTTCACAGTTGTCCCCTTACCCTGTCATCTTGTCCCTTGAGAACCACTGTGGGCTGGAGCAGCAGGCTGCCATGGCCCGCCACCTTCGAACCATCCTGGGAGACATGCTGGTGACACAGGCACTGGATCCCCAGAGCCCTGAGGAGTTGCCGTCTCCGGAGGTGATACTTCCAGACCCCCAGCCTTGCGGGGATGTGGGGGAGGTCTGACTGGGGTTCACCGCCCTGCCCCACTCATGCTACCTGTGGTCTTTCTCTGCCTTGACCTTTCTCTGCTCCTCTGTTCATCTGCCATTTGCCACCCCTCTGTCCCTCTGCTCTCACTGGCTCTCCCTTCCTGCCTAGGTCCTCTTACCTGGCACTCAAGGCCTTCTATGGCCTGGCCTTCCCTGCCCACGGTTCTGCCTCTAAGGCGTGGGTTGACACTCTTCTTCACCTGGCCCTCCCTTCCCAACCGCCTGAATTAGCCAAGTACAAACCTGAACAGAATTCCAGCTCAGGAGGGCTGGGATGTAGCTCAGCAGTAGAGAACTTGCCTAGCATGCACTGGGCATTGGCTTCCACCCCCAGCACTGCAAAAATAAATTTAAAGAAAATGTTCAGCTCAGCTGGAGCCACCTCTTCCTGGGTGTTAAGAACCTCTTCAGCTCTGGGGCCATGAGGGGCCTTCTTCCTCTCCGCCAAACCCCAGAGCATTTAGTCCTCTCTCTCAGGATGCTCATACTTTCTAAGCTCCTGGAGAGAACACCCCACCTCCTCCTCCTGCTCCTCCCAACCCCAAATATGCATCAGTGTCGATCCATCTCTATGTGGGCATGAGATTTGATTTTTGTTGTCAGTATGAAAAAACATACATAAGTTTAAAAAAATCAAACTTTGTGAAGGGTAAACTATGAAAAATGGTTTTTTTTTTTTTCTCTACTCAGGCTCACCTCATACTATTTCACAAAAAGTAACCATGTTCAAATTTCTTGTGAGTCTTTCCGGAATTTTCCTATGCATACACACCTACATACATAACAGTCTTTTATTTATTTGTTTGTTTGAGACAAGGTCTCACTATGCAACTCAGGCTGACCTCAAACTCAAGATCCCTCTGCCTCAGCCTTCAGAGTGCTGGGATGGACCACCATGCCCTGCCCTAAAAGAGCCTTTTTAAAGAATGTGTCTTTCCTTTCAATCCTGAGCCACTCTTGTAAATGGCTGCTGCTGCCTGGTATTGTGACGTTTGGAGGCACCCTATTACCTGTTCCCTACTGATGGCCTTGTAGGTTATTTCTCACTTTTTCCAAATAGAAACATTGCTTCTGTCTGTCTCCTTCCTGCCCTCAGCCCCTCTCTCAGTGGTGGTTGACTGGCCACCGGCTGCCCTGATGGGCAGGAGGTTTTCACCCGTCCACATTGGCTTCTACAGCAGCTGAAAGGCCGGGTCCTGGTGAAGGGGAAGAAGTTACCAGCTGCTCGGAATGAGGATGGCCGAATTTTATCAGACAGGGAGGAAGAGGAGGAAGAGGAAGAGGAAGAAGAGACTGTGGAGGCTGCAGAGCAGAGACGGCAGGTGAGTGAGCTCGGAGGGGACTGGATCCTACTGCAGAGCTATGGGTGGGTGAGGCCCAGAAGGGAACGGAGGTGAGACTAAGGGGCTTGAGCCAGGGGACTCCTGCTGAGACTGGTCTCCCAGGCCAAGCAGATCTCCCCGGAACTGTCCGCTCTGGCCGTGTACTGCTGTGCGACCCGCCTGCGGACGCTGCGCCCTGGCCCTGGCCCCCCACATCCCTGCCAGGTCAGCTCCCTCAGTGAGCGAAAGGCCAAGAAGCTCACCAGGGAGGCAGGTAGGAGCAAACATCGGGCATCTGGGGGCAGGAGGATGGCAGGGCCTTGCAGGCTCCTAAGAGAACCAAGGGGTGTCCTGCTCAGGAATGAGGGCCCAACCCCAGGCTAGGTGTGAGTAGATAGCCTCAGATGGGAGAGAGGCCTGTGTCTGCCTTCTTAGTCAGTGCTCATGGGTTAGTGGTAGATGAGACACAGATGGGGTGATCAGTCAGGCTGTGGTGGGGGCTGGAGAGCCCAGCAGGAAGGACTGAAAAGGAAGCCTTCCTGGAGCAGGTGGTGCCTGAGAAGATGTGTCACCTGAAGAGTGAAGAGGAAGTAGCCAGGTGGAGAGGGAGAAGGGACTTCCAGACAGAACAGGTTATCTGAAGGCCAGGAAGCATGACCTATGGCAAGGATTCAAGGAACACACATGGAGGAGGGTGTAGGCAGGATGAGTGATTAGTGACACGGAATGTCAGCCTGAGGCCAGGTGTTCAGTGTGGGGACTGGGGAATGTGGGAACTGGGGGCTGGGAATGCAGTGCCAGGCTGTGTGGCCAGAGGGCGTCCCTGCCTCTCTCTGGCCTCAGCAGCCTCCTCCATGAGTCCTCTGTCACCCTAGGTCAGAAGAGAGTGAGGAGCTTGGGGGGAGGGATTTCTATCACAATACTGGCCCAAACTCTGCCCCAGGGAACAGTTTTGTTAGGCATAATGCTCGCCAACTGACCCGTGTGTACCCACTGGGGCTGCGGATGAACTCAGCCAACTATAACCCTCAGGAGATGTGGAACTCCGGCTGTCAGCTGGGTAAGTGGGAGCTGCTGGGTACACTTTGGGGGGATGGGGTGCTAGGTTGTGTGGTTTCTGTGTGGTTTCCCGGGCAGTGGGTAGCTTCAGCAGTGAAAGGGCTACATGGCCTTCCAGAAAGTAGAAAAATGCATTTTGTTGATAGTATTTAAAAAGCTGTTGGCAATATAGATGGGAAAATCAAATCAGGCTCATTTGTTCTCGACAGTGTCACATTTTTATAAAGTTAGACATTAAAAATTTTTACTCCCCTGTGTTCCCCATACACATAAGCCATCTGGTAGGCCCACTAAGTCAACATTGATAAAAGTGGGCTCTGAGGGACACTGAGCCCTGCCAGAAGAAAGGAGCATAGCCCCTTGGGGGTAGGTATGGAAACCCCAGTTCCTCAGACCCTAGCTGTGACCTAGGCCTGGCCTTGAGTGTGGAGGCTTCTCCAGCACCTCCCACCCTAATCCCACCCTCCTATCCTTGAGGGATGGCAGGGAGAAGGTACAGGTGACAGTGAGGACTGGGTCTTCTAGCTGTCATGAGCCCCTCTCTGTAAGTCCTGGTGGGAACAGGACACCACTAACCAGACAGTAGGACTCTGGGGTCCCTGTGGAGAGGAACCAAGTCCTCTCTCCAGCATGGTCATCCACTGAATCTGAGCAGTGAGGAAAGGGCCACTAAGAGCCCCCGCTCAACCCTGCTATCCACAGTGGCCCTAAACTTCCAGACCCCAGGCTACGAGATGGACCTTAATTCTGGGCGCTTCCTCGTCAATGGGCAGTGCGGTTATGTCCTGAAACCTGCCTGCCTGCGGCAACCTGACACAACTTTTGATCCCGAGTGCCCTGGACCTTCCAGAACTACTCTGACAGTCCAGGTCAGTAGCCAGGACCAAGCTCCAGCCTGAGGTCAAGGCTAGTTCTGGAGAGATGCCAGTCTGAAGGGGAAGGAGACACGGGAGACCAAGGATAGGCCTCGCATGAGGCTGGCCTGAATATTTGCATCTGAGTGCCAAGGGTAAAGGAATTCTCACCCTGGCAGAAGGCCAGGGTGGCATGGGCTCCAGCAGGGATAACGCACAAGCTGCCGTTTCTCCTTTCCTCAGGTACTGACTGCCCAGCAGCTACCCAAGCTGAATGCTGAGAAGCCCAGCTCCATTGTGGACCCCCTGGTACGTGTGGAGATCCATGGAGTGTCCGCAGACTGTGCTCGAAAGGAGACTGACTACGTACTCAACAATGGTGTGTGGGCAGCTGGTGGGAATGGGGTGAGGTGGGCAGTCAGGAGAGGAGGGCAGGCAAGCCTGACAGCCATGCCTGTGCGCCAGGTTTCAACCCCCATTGGGGGCAGACCCTGCAGTTCCAGCTGAGAGCCCCAGAGCTGGTGCTGGTCCGGTTCGTGGTAGAAGATTATGATAGCACCTCTCCCAATGACTTTGTGGGCCAGTTTACACTGCCTTTCAACAGTTTAAAGCAAGGTTGGTGGAAATGGGTGGGGAGGGAGCAAGATGAGGTCCAAGCTTCCTGGGTCCTGTTCATCTTTGAGTCTGTTTTTCCTGGGGCTGAGGACCATCTGATTCCTGGATGCCCCCCTCCCCACAGGGTACCGTCACATCCACCTGCTTTCCAAGGACGGGGCCTCGCTGTCTCCAGCCACACTGTTCGTCCACATCAGCATCCAGCACTCTTCAGGGCCTGACTGACCTACCAGGGTCCTGCAGGTGCCAGTCAGCACTGCTGCACAGAGCCCTGTTCTCTGCAGTGAGGGATCTGGGAGTAACAGCCCCTCAAGCCCACTTATCCCACTTGCCAGGTGCTGGCCTCTCCTGGGTGCTGAGGGTTGCTGGGTTCCTCCTGAAGGACTAGCCTGTGATCTGTGCTCTGTCGACCTGATCACTTGACTTTAATGGACTCTACCCCTGGGGTTTTGAAATGGCCCAGCTCCCCTGGTCTCAGCCACCCCTTCTTGGTGGCTTCTGAAGATCCAGGCCTGCTGCTGCTAGACTTGGGTAACAGAACGCCTGCGAACCCTCAGCCCCCTAGCAGTACCATCCTAGCCTGTCCCCCACAAGGGGATGTCTCCATCCTGGGCATTATCTAGCCCCTCAGCCCTCCTCCCCTGCTGCTCTTGAACGTGAGCTCCCCCTCCTTTCCCCTCCCTTTCTGAAAGCAAGAAGGGAGAATAAGGGAACACCGAAGCAGTGCCCTAGGGAACTCTACATTAGGTTTGTAATTTGTGTCATAGAAGAGCCCTGAAGAGGGCAGTAGAAGGGTATCTATTTTTAAAAATAAAGAAGCAAATTTACTTTATCACCCCCAGCGAGAGCACCTCTATGGCGCCACACTAACAGGCTTATGAAGAGGGACCAGCTGGAGTGATGCAGCCCCTTGGGCCTTTTCCCCTGGTGGGACTTGGATCTATCTACAACAGCTAAGGCAGTGGCCATAGGAGATGCTATGGCTCAAAATAGCCCTGACCCCTACTATTGGCTTAAAGCTGCTACCAGTGTCACAAGGCTGAGGACACTAATTCACAAGGTCATCTCCCCTGATACACATAAGTGGCCTAAATGGGGAGGAGGCAGGACCTGAGTCCCTTTCCAGGCTCAGCTGGTTCAAGACCTCTTGTCTGTTCTGGAGGGCACATTCCAAGAATATGGGCCCCATTCCTCCAGCCAACCAAATGAAGGCCTAAAAAGTAGAGGGTGGCCTCTGTGACAATGGTGAGAGTGTGAGGTATCAGTTGATAGGATCTGAGAAAAACCCTGGGCCTAAACCTGTCACAAAGGGAACTTTATGGGATTAACTGTGGAGTTATGGCAATTTAGGTTCCACTAGGCAGCAGTAACAGCACAGGACAGGGGAAGAGCTTGACATCCTGGCTTGGGGTTAGACTAGGCCTTGCATTAGCCCCAAGCCTGGGCTGGGGCAGTCTCCACCTTCCTGTAGCCAGAGGCAGGAAGTGCTGGCTTCTCTCTGCTCTTGGTTCCTGGGAGTGGCATTTGGTCCTGATGGATTTGTGTGTCTAGAGGATGACCAGGATCTGAGGGGCCTGGAAGGACTGGACTAGGCAGCCCAGGCAACTGGTACCCAGGGCTATCAGGAGAGCCAGGCAGCCCCACGGTGGGTGCTAATTTTAGTGTATGAAGAACAATTTGAGTTGTTTAGCCCCTAAAGGATCAGCTCCCTTCAGGGCCTGGCTAGGGGTTCTGTCAGGTGTAAAACAGGCCCAGAGCCAAGCCCTCACCCTGCTTCTCTTTGGTTTGGCGTAACAAGAGGCAGGGTAGATGGCTAGGATGAGAGCACAGAGCTAGCAAACTGCATAGAAAGAGCCAGAGTCTGGGCTGGGGAGTGGCTCAGGTGGCAAGAGTGCCTGCCTAGCAAGTGTGAGGCCCTGAGTTCAAATCCCAGTGCCAGAAAAAAAAAAAAAAAACTGATGGTAAAAGAGCCAGAGTCCTTAAGGCCAGGAAGGGCACAGGAACTAAGCATGGGAGGTAGAGGCAAGGAAAACATCAGTTTTAGTTCTGGAGGCCACCATAGGATTGTTCTCCCAGTCAAAGCTATTAGGGGAGGAATGAAGCTTGAGCTTTTGGGAGCCAGAGTGCCTGGTTAGGGCAGGGATACAGGGTTAGGGGTCTAGATGTCAGCCAGGCCCCAGAACTCCATCTGTTCTACTGCCACCTGCCAACCAGAGAAATACCAGGAGAGATGGGTTTGTTCAGCTGCTTTCTTTATTAGAAACAAGTGAGATGTACTGAGCAGAACAATGCATTTGGTATTTCTTCCCCCACCCTGGAAATGGATGCCCCCTTACAGCCCAAAGAAATGCCAAGATAAAAAGTTGAAGCTTCCCCCCACCCTGTCCCCAGGTGTGGCACGTGCCTGTAGCAGTCAACATTTTGATGGAATTGTCCTAAACAGCCTTCCCAGGTGGTCTGTTGCAGGCCTGCCTTCACTTTGCAGCAGGGCAAAACCAAGGCTTTGGTCTCCTCTGTGCTGGGGCAGGTAGACCAGGCCACAAGAAGGCTGCCTCCAGAGACACTCCTGCCCTCTCCCCTAACCTGATAGTCCTTTTCTCCTAGACCATGAAACTGGTGAAGGCCTTTGGGCACTAAGGTTGGTTAAGTGCTAGTCATCTTTGGGGAAGGAACTCAAGACCATAGGGACAACTGCCTTTGGGCTTCAGAGAGCCAGCTTAAGTAAGGGGGGGTGCAAATGACAGCTAGAAGAAGAGTTGCAGGCAAGGCCTGAAACTTTCCATTAAAAAAACAGGTGTTGAGTAGCTTGGCATGGGCCAGACTTCAGACACCATCATCTTCAGAAATAGGTTTATGTGGGGAAAATAAGCCCTATGTAGACCTCTACCCAGAGCTAAGGCCTCCTTTCTTCCAGGTTCTCTCCCTACACAGACTGCAGGCTAAGGCCAAATGTAGACCCAATCCAAAGGCAGGAGGTAAAGGTCATCTTCAGAACATGGCAGCCAGGAGGACTGGGTGGCAAAGGGTGGAGGCCAGGTCCAGAGAGGCCTCTCAACAGTGGCTGCCTGGGGCAGGTCAACTTGAAGGACCCAGGGTCCTACTTTTGTTGGTTTAAGCCTGCCATGGTACCTTCATACTACAAGGCTTCTGTGAACCCCGTGATGGTGTTCTCTGGTCCAAAATTCCAGAAGGGGGCAAGTGAAGAACCCAGGATGGTTTGGATAAAAACAAGACTAAGAGCGGCCCCTAAGCTGACTCCTGTAGATCTGGATTGACCCCCACCATGAAGACCCAGCAGCAGGCCTTGGTTTTGAGGAGGGAGATACTGGGGCCTTTGCCAGATCTGCTTCTTCCAGAGCAGCCACCTGAGACTCACTCTTCCCATCCTATGACCAAGGTCACCAAACAAAAACTCACTCCAGAGACATGTGTACCCCAAATCTGAGAAGCAACTTGAGCCTAGACCTGGCTCAGGGAGCTTTTCAAGTTCCAACTCTTGCCCAAGGTAGAAAAGACTTGAGTACTTTGTTCCTTGATTCTTAGAGGTCTGGGCTGGATGAATGTGCCGCCCTTGGTGCTCTGAGTCTGATGTCTGTATAGTTGTAAGGCACCCCAGCCTCTCTGACTCTTCCTGTCTGTGGAAGTCGGTGAGCATCTTGCCAAGAACAGCAGCTTCTTTGGTCTGGGTATCTTGGAGTCAAAGGTCACCCACCTTTGATGGTGCCTAGTTTGCAGCACAGGACAAGGGGGGAGAAGGAAGACCCCCAGAAGCCTCTAATGAGAATCCACCACATGAGCTGCTGCCTGCAGCAGCAGTCTGCAGAGTGGGCAGCATTCCCATGGAGGCACAGCCTCCATCCCAAACACAATTTCCTCCAGCTTTGGCAAACCACACCAGAACATACAGCAAATCCCCGTTGGTCTGTAGAGTGGCTTCAGTTTGTGGGAAGAGGGTGAGCCTGGCTTCAGGCTAAGGCTTCTTTTCCCTACAAGAAGCTGAGAGGTGAAACAACAAGGAAACTTCCTGCACACATCATGCTGTCCCTCAGGGGTTTCTCCTAGAGCAAGAATTATGAGGAAGCTGGATGTGGCTTGCTGACAGTTCACAGCCCAATCCTCCCAGGCCACTTGGCTGAACACCACTAAAGAATGCCAATGTGGGCAACCATGTGACCAGAAGCTTGGTTACTTCTGGAGACCCTGGCAGCACCCATACCCACCACTGCCATCACAAAAATCCGCAAAATAGCATCATTGAAAACCACTTAGACAATGGCAACATTGCCAAGTCCAGACATGCCTCTAGGCCCCACTCCTTGCTGCATTGTGGGCCGTGTGTCCTCGAAAGGAGACATAGAGAGGAGCACAGCAAGAGATGGCTGACAGGCTAGAAGGCACATGCCAGACGCTGGGGCTGAAAAGGCCTGGGTATCAGTCCATGTCATCTCTGTCCAGCTACCCTGGTGACAGCAGGGTGCTGGTTCTTTGCTCTAAGATGAGCTAAGTGGGCTTGCACTGATGGGGTCTCCACAGGGTCCCAGATACTACAAGGAGGTCCGAGGTCCTCTTCAAACTACCAGTCACCCCAGGAAGTAGAAAATGCAAACTCTCACAGGGGGTGTATCCCTGTAAGTTTGGCAAAAGGTGGCTCAAGAGCCCTTTTTACCACCTGGCAGGATGACTTCCTAAAGGAAGTAGACCCAGGGCATGGAAGAGGGACTTGATTAACGAAATCAGCCTCCATGATTGTCCACACTGCTCAGTCTCAGAATACAGAAAAGGTCTTCTCCCTGTGGAAAGGGTCCTGGAAAGGGTCAGCCCCACTCAGTAGCTCTACCACCCATCCTGAGAGAAGTGAGCCCTCTCTGGAACTGGCAGAGCCCCCTCCCCTTTCCTCTTACCTCAAAGCCAGTTGATCCAGCTGAAGTGGAACTGGAGGAGGTTCCCCAAATTCTCTTTCTCCTGCTCCCCCAAGAAAAGCCAAGGCCTACTTCTGAAGGAAACAATGAACTGTACCAATATCTGCCTGTCTGCCAGTGCCCTTGGGTTCTAATTCTGAGGAATGACTGGATTCAGCTTTTCATTAGAGACCAAGCATCCTTGTACATTTGGAACATGAAAGATATCTAAAATATATATATATATATATATAATATATATATACTTTTATTATTCACCCGTTAACTCCATAATATGCCAATCACGAGCTAGTTTTCAGCAGTTACATTCCCTTGATCACGGCTGCATGAGAATGTGATTAATTGGAAAACAGGGAGACCAGAGACACGGCCAGAGGTGACATCACGCAGCCTACGCCATTGCAATATAATTGTCAAGTTCGTTGGCGGTTTGGTAAAGCCGGTTCAGTTCTGTTCCCTTTGGCAGGGATTCTTACATTTGTGAAAGTTGGACCAACAAGTGGTGGGGCTCCATTTCCTGGTTTGAATTCTCAGTGGCTTTATCCAGAACCTCACTGGCAGTTGGTTACTGTAACACCAGCCCGACCTAGGAGAGCCAATGGAGAGGCAGAATTGAGTTGACAATACCTAATTCTCCCGCCTCTTCACCCAGTTCTGAGGTTTCACCCCACTGAGCTTGCAGAACGACACTGGACCTGTCACTCAACTTCCATGCCAGGTTTACACTTCTGTCAGATCCTTAAAGGAAAGCAATGACAACATCCTGAGGACACTAGGCCAAAGGCCTCCCTTCAGCTCACGGGACAGCATCTGGTACATGCTGACCATACCCATGCCCTTGGGCCACTGTCAGGAGCTGGGAAATGAAGGGCTTAGGAAGGGCCACGCTGGAATGAAGGTGGTAGCCACAGACAGACAAGACAGATTCCTAATCTCC